GCTTCGGTGGGGCTCCCTGTGGGGCCAGGGCCACGATCCACGAAAGGTGTCCGCCGAAATGAAGCTTCGGTGGAGCTCCCTGCGGGGCCAGGGCCACGATCCTCGAGAGGGGCGTGCCGCAATGAAGCTTCGGTGGAGCTCCTTGTGGGACCAGGGCCACGATCCTCGAGAGGGGTGTGCCGAAATGAAGCTTCGGATGAACTCCCTGTGGTGCCAGGGCCACGATCCTCAAGAGGGGTGTGCCGAAATGCTGTTTCGCTGGAGCTCCCTGTGGGGCCAGGGCCACGATCCTCGAGAGAGGTGTGCCGAAATGAAGCTTCGGTGGAGCTCCCTGTGGGGCCAGGGCCACGATCCTCGAAAGGTGTGCGCCGAAAATAAGCTTCGGTGGGGCTCCCTGCGAAGCCATGGCCGCGATCCTCGATAGGGGTGTACCGAAATGAAGCTTCGGTGGAGCTCCTTGTGGGGCCAGGGCCACGATCCTCGAGAGGGGTGTGCCGAAATGAAGCTTCGTTGGAGCTCCCTGTGGGGCCAGGGCCACGATCCTCGAGAGGGGTGTGCCGAAATGAAGCTTCGGTGGAGCTCCGTGTGGGGCCAAGGCCACGATCCTCGAAAGGGGTGTGCCGAAATGAAGCATCGGTGGAGCTCCCTGTGGGGCCAGGGCCACGATTCTCGAGAGGGATGTTCCGAAATGCAGCTTCGGTTAAGCTCCCTGCGGGGCCAGGGCCACGATCCTTTATATATGCGTGCTAGAATGAAGCTTCGGAGGAGCTCCCTGTGGCGCCAGGGCCACGATCCTCGAGAGGGGTGTGCCGAAATGTAGCTTCGGTGGAGCTCCCTGTGGGGCCAGGGCCACGATCCTCGAAAGGTGTGCGCCGAAAATAAGCTTCGGTGGGGCTCCCTGCGGAGCCATGGCCGCGATCCTCGATAGGGGTGTACCGAAATGAAGCTTCGGTGGAGCTCCTTGTGGGGCCAGGGCCAAGATCCTCGAGAGGGGTGTGCCGAAATGAAGCGTCGGTCCAGCTCCCTGTGGGGCCAGGGCCACGATCCTCGAGAGGGATGTGCCGAAATGAAGCTTCGGTGGGGTTCCCTGCGAAGCCAGGGCCGCGATCCTCGAG